TTAGACAGTATATTTTTTCATATATTTTTAACTTTGTATCACTTCATTGGTGTTTGTGATGCTGTACATGTACATAAAAATGCAAGGTCATGGTTATTATAAATTTGAAAGAGTATACTAATATAGCACTTTTCTCATTTGTAATTAACAGTATAGAAAGTTGATTGAACTGTCATCAATTAGTTTGAATTTATATTATCTTAAAATCATATATATAACAAAAAACTGAAATAACATGTTAAATTTATTTTGTAAAAAGCTTTTGATACTCTGTAACTATCATACTAGCATAGTATTTTAGTATACTTAATATATTTATATTAATATTTTTTGCAGAAAATTACAAAACAGAGTTGCGGCTCAGTCTGCCAGAGATAGGAAGAAGGCAAAATTGGATAAGCTAGAAATACATGTCAAAGTTTTGGAGGAGGAGGTACTTTTTCCCCTTTTGTTAAAGAATTACCAAAAAATTTTCATGTGGTCACATTATAAAATAAATAAATAAAAGCTAAGTATGCTCAACTTTCTTTTTTATTTTCTGTATTGTATTTCATTAATTTAGAATTATTTCATGTCAGAGTTTTGTTTGTTTTTGTTTATGATGTTGAATAGGATTTATGTGAAAACAATCTTAAGATTGTGTTACTTTTATTTACATATGTATGCATATTTTTCTATCAATTTCTATGTATTTTCAAAGAAGTATTCAGCTGTAACTTCACTATGATAAGAAAGCAGTAATGGATATTGTACTTCTTTGTTGCATTTTTATTTTTATACATGCAAGTGTATAACCCTTACGAAACACCTTATTTCTGCAATATTCAGTACTTCAAAGTATTTGTATTTTCTCACAGAAACTGGCATTATTGTCAGAAAATGAAATATTAAAACGGAAATTGATGCTTCTAGAAAATGAAAACTCTGACCTGAGATCAAGACTGGGTCTGAAAGAAATAAAAGTAGAACAGGAAGATGAGGTAGACTATTCCTTATATTAAATATTAATCTTTACTGACATTGGTTTACCTTGAACCCTCTCTTTTGAAATAATATACCATTATGCATATAGTTTATTCATAAATGCTGTGTACTATTGAGTTATCATGAAGAATTTAGGTACCAGCTATTGTTTGTAAGTAAATGTCTTTAAATCTTGCAGATGATGACTGCCATGCATTTTTAATATAATCAACAGTTATTTACAGGTCAAACCTAAATTACCCTTTATTGTAAATATGCTTTCAGCTTCTTCATTGCAAAATGAATGTTTTTTACATTTACCTTTTACCTAACACAAAACATTTTTATCATTTATCTCAGTACAAATTCTTACAAAATATTGTGCGATTGTGCGAATTTCTCGATTGGCACTCGTTTTTGCTCATGATTTCCTTTTGGAATTTT